CCCTTCCTCAGAACCCTTCCTCTGTTCTGAGGAAGGGTCACCGGACCCGAAACGCTAACTCTGTTTTTTCCTTCACAGATGCTGCCAGACCTGCTGGGCTTTTCCAGCAACTTTGTTTTTGTACACTAAGCATACAAGTCTGTCCCACCTCCAGGCTTCTCCACCTCAAACTGGATCAGTATTTTCCACAGGATCTAAACTCAAAGCACTGGCAGATTGCAACAAGGTCTTTTTCCATTGTGGTATTTCCCATGGTCAATATCAGCCAGTATATTTGGGAGGTATGGTGAAAAAGATACCTGCAAATTTACTTCAGAATCCTACTGGGACTTTACTGTTTCACTAACGCAGACCGGAGGGGCTAAGATCTTTGGCCTATTAGCTCATTTTAATCTGACTTGACAATCAATTACAGTGCTCCCAATTGAGAGGCAGATGCAGTCAAAAAAACTTGGTGGAATCTAGAGATCAAACTTTGGGCCTTTCATCCGTTTACACTTGCTATGTAGCTTCCACTGAGGAACTTAATAGCATTAGACCAATCAGCCCCCTATAGTCTATTCTGCCATTTAATCATATGATTTTTGATATGCATCTTAACTTCATCTACGCAACTTGTTCTGTTACTATCAATCTGTCTGCAATGATAAAAATCTATCAATCAATTTCAACTCTGAAATTTTCGATGCCAATTGCTATGCATGCTGGGGGATGGAAAGGGTTCCAGAAGACTGAAGTCCTCATATCTGTCCTGAACAGCCTTGCACTAATTTTAAGGTTGTCCCCCACTTAATCTTCAATCAACAGCACCGTCCGCCCCCAACTCACTAAGGGAATAATTTCTATCAACTCCTACAATCATCGGCCTCAATTAGATCCATCCCTTTTTGAAACATCGGGAAGCAAATTTTTGTTTTATTCTAGGGACCACAAGTATTTTTTGTGAAGATCACTTTTTTTGGGACTAAAAACAGGAAAAAATTCTGCTATAAACCAAGGAAGTTATGTTGGAAGGCATTTGCAGATTAAAAAAAGTTAGTAGAAAACATTGAGTTGTATATATAATACTCCCTTATTCTAGAAAAGGAGGGTGAATGCTCGATAAATTGGCATTGCATGTGCGCGCGCCCATGTGTGTAGGGCAATTCTGACAATTTCATATTAATTGGCCTTTAAATCAGGACCAGTTGTGAGGATTCAGAAAAGCTCAGCATAGCAACACCTTCTTAACTGATTCCTAGGTAGTGAGCTACAGTCGTGCGTTTGGACAATATAGCAGAAACATCTAGCCTGCACAGAGAAAGCATCCATCGCTCTTTCTCTGCCCTCTGTGTGGAGAAGTAAAAGAGAATCCCTAGTAGCCAGCTACTCTCTCAACAAATCCCCTGTTGAAAGGAAGAGATGATAAAGAAGATAAGTCACCTTCAGGTGGCACAAAGGGCAAATTCTCAACCAGTGAATGAAAGACTGAGAAACAGTGAATCCACAACCTTAAATCCCCTATGAACTGACAAGGAAATGAAAGAAAACAATTAATCTCATCTGTGAAACGGGCAAGTACCAGAATTATGCTTCTCTGACTTTTCCCCCTCCACACCTATCGTATTTGCACCTCGTCTCTTTGTGAATCTGTTTGTATGCGTAGAGAAATTTTAAGAGGTAGAGTTTAATCTGTAGAGTTATAAGTTAGTAATTCATATGGTTTTTTGCCATTATTTAATGGAGTTTGATTATAGTAAATAATCATTTTCTTGCTAATGGAAAACCTGGTGTGCATGTGCTTTTAATCTGAATTAAACAGCTCGGGTTGGGTAGTTCAATGGTTA